ATTGCGAATGCTCTCTCTTTTCCAAGTGAACCCCTCCTTGGAATCACAAGGGAGCTCAGCTGAGCTGAGCTCTAATCCGGGCTTCCCAAGGATAGTAAAAGAAGAAATGGAAAACTTCAGTATAGAATACTACATTTGGGGACCAGTGGATGGCATGGTGGTTAAGGCACTAGACTTCTACATGGCTGATGGCAGTTCGAGTGCCGGATTTGGCAACTTGCATTCTCACGTCCTCTCATTCTCTCTTTCTCTCTGGTGACCACACATGCCCTATAGCAAGTTAAATAAAGATAATAATAATCATAAATTTTTAAAAAATATTCTGTTTTGCACAGAATTATTACTCAGCTAAATATGTTGGTAAGGATGATGATTCCAGGCAATAATGTTCATACAGAATCCTTAAGAAGGAGAGAATCCCAAACCTATTACATAATGGCGCATATCCATCCAAAAATGAAATTGGCAGATGACTGGCCACAGTGGTGGATCTTTCTCCCGGGTGACCTTGTAGAGTGCTGACGTGTGAGGAAGTGAGATCAAAATGCTACTCACTAGAGTGTCCTTTACAAGGAAATCTCATGAGGAGGAGTAACTTCATAATAACGAAAATCAAAAAATGCTCTGCTTGCCCTTGTCCTTGCCTCAGCTGATTTGAACAAAAGCTTACTGGCTTCAATACCTGGTCCCTGGGGAGCGAGATTACGCGTCATTGCCATTAACTGGTTCCTATCACAGGATGTTAATAGATCATTTAAAAAAGGACATCTCAACACAATCACTGTTTGCTTTTCTTTCAAATTCTGAACAAACACTTGCGTTATTGTATATTAATTATGAATATGCAACTTCATGTTCACAGTATCTCATGTTTTCCAATATGCTTAAATAGTTTAAAAAATATCATTTTTACTTGGTATCTATAGAAGACCATAGTTTGTTCAAGCTATTATCAAATATCATAGACTCTGTTTGTTTTTATTATTTAACACAATGTTTCAGTGAATATTAAGGCACCATCCTCTACTCCTCTTTCAGATAAGTTTCCAGGCATAGAAAAAGTTAACCTAAGTATATAGTACTTCTGAAGTCTTTGGCATATCGTGTCAAATTGTCCTCCAAAGACAGGAATACAATGTCTAATTGTCTTCAACAATTTGTACATAATTTTGATTTCCTACTTACCAACATCAAATAAATCATTTTATTGATTTTGCTGATTTTTAAATAATTTTTATTTACATTTACCTTATTACTAAGGTTACCTACTTTTCATATCTTAGTTGGATTTTTAGAGGTCTTTTTTGTGTAGGTTCTTCAAGACCTTTGTCCATTTATCTATTGGTTCCTTTTCAGAGCACTATTTGATAAATAGTTAATCTATGAGTCAAATAACTCAAATTTCACAAAGGAAAAATTGTCAAGAATGTGTCTCAAGAAAGCCATAAAAGTGCTGGCCCCATAGCTTAGTGGTTAAGGGAGCTAGGTCTCACATAGCTAACTGTGATTTAAGTCCCAGACGTGGTGGCTGGAAAACCACATAGGGTGTGTGTGTGCGCACATGCTCCAAATCCCCACAGGATGGAGAAATGAAGGAAAAGGAAATGCAGTGGGATCACACTACGTTGAGAGGTGCTTTCTCCTTCTCTAGTTCTCTGTCCCTTTCTGGCAAGTGAGCGTGCCCTCTGGCAATTTACAAAAATATTTTTAAAAAGAATGGCAAGAGCACTAAGTTGCAGGTTCTATCCTGTATATGACTGTGTGTGGCATAGGAAATGATCTGCCAAGAATCAAAAAGACAGAAAGCATGAGAGAAGCATATGGAATTAGCTGTTCATACTCTCCAGCTCACCCCTAGCACACCGTCCCTACCCACTGAGATTTCTTGTCATTAGCTGTTTGAAAAGAGAACAGATTTAGTGAGTTGTGAATCAAGATCCTCTGACAAATAATTGTACAAAAATAAAAGCACTGCAACACAGGGTAGCATATCAGTTGTCACAAAGATAAGGATGCTTTATGCAGGCAAAGACCTTTGAAGAGCTAAAAACAGAAGCCTCTTCATACACAGGACAGTGATCTACTTTATCACTCATTCAAACACATTTTTCCCCCTTCATCGGGGCATCTTTTTATTTTATTTGCTGTTCAAAACATCAGGGCACAAAGGCTGCTCTTCATCTTGTGTGCTACTGAAATGAAATCTTGAGGTAGGGAAAAAAGAAAAGCTCTTGCCCTACATTCCCTTTCAAAAGTGAAGTGTGAAAAGACATCAAGCAGAGAACACAGTGCTATTGTTGCAAGAAAGTCAGCTCTGCCAGTGCAGAGTCTAAGGCCATCCGCCGCGGCTGCATCGCTTCCTCACCCACCGTGAAGAAGAAGAAAAATCCAAGGAGAAAGGTTCCACTAGAGGAAATGGAATTTCTCATTGTCCTTCCTCCTGATTATCATTAACATCTATGGCCACAGCTGTTTCCTTTGTCTGACTCATCCTAAAGTCAATGCTATGATATCTGCCTCCTTCTGCATCACAGGGGCTGTTATTGCCTCATGTCTTATTCAGAGCATCAGAAACTTCAAGTTTATCCTTCCACTGATCAGGAAACTCGACAGCCTAACTATTAGGTCATCAGGAAAGTCAGGAAGTATGTTGCTGTATATGTCATGACTTTCCTGACAACCCAATATACGCTTTAGTGTGGTACTGAAAAGATTAAAAATGATTTAACAATAGGTCTTTAGCCTTGAGAACTTGGTTTTATTAAACCACTGGAATATAAATACATTTTAACTCCAAGTTTAAGCTATGATATAAACGGCAGTCAAAATCAAATAGTTTTAACAAAATATTTAGTGATTACATAGATAAGTTATCGTGGACTTTCTTCTTACAATGTCACTTGTTGTCATTGTTTTAAATAGGATGAAGAAAACAGATTATCTCAGAATTCTTCTCAACACAATGTTATATGCCTCAGAGGATATAGTTCTATACCAAGGTTATTAATATGAGTTGCTTTAAGCTTTATAGTTTCAGTATAAAATGCATTACTTACTACCCGAGTAAGATTTTTATAAGTCAACAAGATAATATGCACTGAATATACATTAATACCTTGAACTTCAGTGATACGGCCAGCATAGGAAATTCAGTATTAGACCACTCTTCTGAGATTCTATCCAAAATTTGTATTATTTGCAGTAACAATGTAACTCATGGATCATGAGAAAATTGAGACAGGTCAGATTTACATTCCTGGCTCTCAGTAACTCTCTGGTAGTAGTCACTGAAAACATGCTTCTTTAATGAAAAGTTGCACAATGAGCAAACTAACACATTAACAATAAAAGAGTCTCCTGTGTGGCAGTTCTTGGCGATGCAAGGGCACCCCAGAATTTTAAATCATGATGTTAATTCCCCACACACGCAGAGGGTACTCCTCATGACTAAGTTTTGATTGCAGTTATATACAGTAATGGACATTTTCCATCCTGTCTTTCAAAGGTTTGGTTGTGTTTTGCCTTTTTACACATAATTCCTCTTTATGCCTTTCTGATAATCCTTCAATCACACAGTTACTTACAAACCTGGAAGTTGAAATCTATTTGTAAAACAATCATTAAACTGAAAAAGGTATTATCTAAACTCACATTTTTCACCCAATTTTCTTTACTCTGATGTGAGAAAAGAGTAAGAACAATGAAAAAATCACTTATTTAATAAGCACTCGAACACACTATTGTATGTAATGTGTTGCTAACCAGATATTCTGGTTTATTTTTTCTTTAAGATCTAGAATGTTCTTCTGGTCTAAATTCATGTTATTCTCCTCTCTGCTGAGAGAGTTCTCAGAAATTCAATGGCAAACTTTCCTATATCACACCAACTCCTCTTTGAACAAATATAAATGTCCTTAAGCATATAAAATGAGTAAGATTTCAGCTGCTACCATTAATTTCCTAGGTTCAGCGGAGGAATATTGTTTTGTAAGGCCTCAGGGCAAAGGGTATTTTGACTCTTTGGAAGGCAATTTGTATACTTGCTCTTGCTGAAGGATGCTCAGCTTACTTTGATGTTAATATTTGGTATTATGTGATTTTGTAAATTGATTTTTTAAAGCCTTAGGCAAAAGAACCAAAGCTTTTCTTTTCCCTAGATGTCTCCTTTCCTTACATGGTTTCATTTCATTAAAATGAAATATTAATTCCAATCTTCTTCACATTTAAGGTATACCATGATGGAACATACATAGGAGGTTTGAAAATGTAATCCTATGGTATCAAGCCATGTGGGAATACTGAATAGCCCAATGTATGCTTTCTGAAGGAAATATGAAAGCTTGCTCTTTGGTCTGGATGTGGATTTGCCAAAACTCTATTAGAAAACAAAGTGAAATCCAACATATACATTAAGGCATACACTTAAATGTATGGAACTCCCTTTCCATATACACTACACACTAAGGCGTCTGTGTTTTATTTCATCTTGAATGATCTCAGTATCTTGTATGCAAGCCTGGCTTTTCACTCACTAAAAAAGAGATAAATAAATAAACTAACAAACTTTAGTTTCAACAAAGATAGAGCTGGTGGGAGATAATGGCTTCGCACTTATCCAGAAGCAGAAAGACATATCATGTGGCAACAACATATGTAGCTACCCTTCCAAACCAGATGAAGGCCTCGCAGTAAAATTCAGCCCTAGTTTGTCAAGGGTCAACCAATATTGCATTAGTGGCCCTCAGTGTTAATCTGAAAAGGAGTACACTAGTTCTGTTCCTATTCTTTTATCTCGAGGTGACCAGTAGTAACAAGGCAAATGTACCTAAGTTCAAAGGATTACATTGACAGCAAATCTGCAAAATTACAATAAACCCATACTTTTTAAAGCTAATAACCTGTGAAATGACATCAATCATTTTCTGCTGGCTAAACTTAAAGATGAAAAATAATTTAAATATTGTATCAGCTAAAATTCTGAAGAAAAAAAAAATACATACCCAAGCCTTCAGATTCAAATAGACATGTGTCATCCACACCTAAATCTCGGCACCAGGATAGGAAATTTGCTGTATTATCTCGAGCGAAGAAGGAGCCTGAGGGTGCACTGGCTTTGCATGGAATCTTCTTCAATGGCAGACCCTGAAAAATATAGAAATCTCATTCTGGTGGGATATATGGTAAGAACATCACAGTGACACATTAAAAACACATTTATGTTTCCAACAAAATGCTCTGAGATGACCTCATGGCAATAAATCGTTTTGTGAAGATCCATAGAAAAGGAAGAAAATGCTATGAAACTTACCTGGAATTAAGGGACTACGGAAATCTCTCCTGCAAGCACAGATCCTTCCCTTTCCTGTATCTAGTAGTAACTGTATGTAAGTTCCTTTCTTAGCTCAGTATTACCTCTTTCTTTCCTATAACAATTTCTTGACATTCTCTTTCATCTAAGTACTCTATCAGTAGCTCTCATAAAGTATTTATAAATGCATTTCTCATTTGCAAAAGAAGAATGAGACAAACATAAATATAGCATATCAATATGATATATATGCAAATCTACCTCTACCTCTATTTATATGTGAATACCTACATAAATAAGATAAAATTACACAAAAAAATGATAAAGTCAAACGATTGCAGCAGAATTATTTAAGATAATGTCTCTATCATCAGTACAAATATAGGGAGATATTAAAGTGCTTTTCCCAGGCCAGCAGGTGGCAAAGTAGTGAAGGCTCTGGATCTCAAACAGTCAACACCACAGTTCGAGTCCTGGACCTGGCAGCCTGAAAAATACACCAGGTGTATGTATGTGTATGCCCCAAATCCAGAAAGGAGCATGGAGAAGAAGGGATTGCAGCATGGCCAGGACCTTTGGGTAGTGATTTCTCATTTCCTTTGTCTCTCTGTCTCTCTCTAGTGAGTGCACATGTCCTATGGCAAAAATTCTATAAAAAGAATGGTTTTAACAGTAATATTTTACAGTCTTTCAGATTATTATTTTTTAAACCATAGGGTATAGATATACTATATAATACTAAGCTAATTTTGGTCTGAACCTTGAAAATTAATATTTATATTCTTTTTGTAAGAAGTATTTTATTTAACTTTTATTTATTATTATCATTATTATTTTCCAGATTTGATCAGAGAGAGACAGAGAGAGAGAGGAAGTGAGAAAGCAAGCCACCAGGTCCAAGACTTGAACCGTGGTCGGCCATGTTGGAGTCCAGTGCCTTTAACCACCATGCCATTTGCTGGCCCCAATATTTATATTCTTCATTATTTCTCTTTTGAAATAAACTACTTAAGGAGGATGGCGACCTAAACAGACTTTTATATTTACAGTCCCATAAAATTTTAGCCAGGAAATTTCCTTTGGCATCATACCAAGTGTTACAGTTTCTTTTCTTTTCTTTTTTTTTTTTAATACAATATAACCAATTTCTTTTTGGGGGGAGGGCAGAGGTTTTAGCTATAGGGTGCTTGCGCTTGACAGAAAGAGACAGAGAGACAGAAGGCAATAAATCACCCCCCAAGGGGGATGGCCACACCACAATCCCTTCTCCTCCATTCTCCTCTCAGGATCTTGGGCATGCACGCACACGCGCCCAGCGTGAGTTTAAACCACCGAGTCCAGGACTTGAACCACGGTCGACTACATGGGAATCCAGCGACATACCCCCTACACCAACTGCTGGTCCCCAATATAACCATTTTCTAAGGCATTTCATGAAACTGTACCTTCATGAACATAACTTCATGTGATCTGAAAGACTGGACCAAGGATTTGGATGATCTGGTCTACATAGCACTTTGGGCCAAAGAGCTAGAGGATTAAGGGCAAAGTCCTTTGTGATTTAAATTCTTAGAAGGTGTTTCCTTTATTTTCTGTGAACCAGTAAATATAATAACTGAAATATCAATTGCTCAGTTCATTTTCAAGAAGGCTTATAAAAAACAAAATTGTGGTCTAAGTGGGATTAGTGAAGTCCT